CTTATTCCAATAGGTCTTTTAAAGAGATCTTGTTCTAATCAATTCAACCAAACCTGTCGAGTAAGAAATACCTCCAGAAATTAAGCCTAAAAAGACGAAACAAGACTTATTTACATGAGTCCATTTCCTGTTACTAAGCTTGTCTAAGAAAGCTTCAGACTTTTTCTTTTAAGTAAAATGATCCTCGTTAAAAAACAAACGATTCATCCTATTCATTTTCTGGTATTGTTCAAAACACGTCAGTCTGATTTGCGTCTGATTCTAACTTAACGATCTCAGAATGCAGGAACTCTTGCAAGTTTTTGAAATCGTGCCTTTTCGTGTGGCAAAACTCTAGTTTTTCGACTACTGGCTATTTCGATTTTACATAAAGTTAGAACTTGGCAAAGAATCACAAGACAATATTAATTTAACAGGGCGAAGGTTCAAAGTTCTTTTACGCACAAGTGGCGGTCAAACCAGTGCATATTCTAGGCGGATTAGAGGACTGAGAATGTTTCCTTATTATCTAAGAGAATGTCTAAGCAGAATATTGGGCCTTGAACATGCAACCGCAAAAAAAGACAAAAAAAAACAAAAACGAGAAAAAAAAAAGCACTGAGTCTCTAATTTTCTAAACTCAATCGTGCTTAATTGGACTGAATATTCCAAACCTGATGAGGCATAGGGTCCGTGGTTGATTTATCTCGAATTGAATCGGGATTCCATTTGCCATAACAACACGGCTGACTTATCGGGTCATCCCCAAGTGATAGTATAAATGTTTGCTCCCAAGTACTTTCGTGTCAATACAGTTGCCCTGTTCTGTACGTAACCCTGTTAAATCTAGAAGAACAGCTGTAATTGTTGAGCTTAGATCACAATGTAAACCTATTTTACTGATTTTGTACAAATTTTATGAATTTAACCCGGTTATCCTTCAACTGTGGATTTATACATAAATATTCTCCAGACAGGAAATGATTTCGCGAGCTTATGGTAGCACAAGGGGTTTTAGTGTTCGCAAACAAATCAAGTAGATCTACCGAAAAAGCAAGTATTGTTTTGTGTTTACAGTTTTGAGAATTCTGAATTTTTCAACTCGTTTGTCAAACCTATTTTTTTGAGTTCTTTAGGTATGATCTTCGAGACAATGACCGCTGAGTTGTCTTATTAGAACTGTTGTTTACTAGATCTTAAAACGTTACCTTTGAAATGTAACTAGATAACTTGCCGGAAAGTAGAAAGAAAAATTAGAATAACAGTAGAAAAATAATAGAGAAAAGTATGTAGATAGGTGCAAAGAGATTGAATTTTAGAAAAAAATGGATCGAACTAGTTGTAGAGATCGAATTTAGTTCACCTGAGAGAGAGCGAATTTTACACATCACTAATATGGGTCAATTACATGAACTCCAAAAAAATATCCTGGATATCAACTTTTAACCATGCATTACCAGTACCTCAAAAAAAAAAACAAAAAAAAAAACTGGTTCGTTGCTTTAACCAGTTAGCTGACTAAATTATTATTAACAGTACTCGTCTCATTACTTATCGAAAAATTGACGGTTAATCACACGCGACGTCCAACGAAATATAGCGACGTTGGGGACTTTGCGTGCTAGAAATAATAGACTTTGTAAAACAATGAAATTAAAACATGCCTTTCGTGCATGGCTGTCGTGGAGTGTATTAACACGTCGTAAATCGATAATAACCGATTAGCACCCCACGCTTGCCTGCCCCACGAGTATATAAACCCAGACGAGAGTTAGCGCCAGGCTTCCATCGCATCTCAGACCGCCGCTGAAATCAGCTCCTGAGCGAATAGAGTCAAGGAGAAGCTGGTATAGCGACTCTTAGAGCGGAGTAAACACAGGTTAGACCATTTTAATCAGTCGCCCGTGCTCATAAAATTAGTATGATAAAGTCTTGTTGCTAGTGGCAACAACAGCCTTGCTTCTGATGAAATCGCTGCTGTCACTTCTGCTTTCAGTAAAGGGGAAGACAAACTCACCACCGGCCGGCTGCGTTAATTTATCTTAAATACTTGGATTTGTGCATCAGACCGGCCAATCAGTTGGTACAAGATTTTTATACTTGATATTTTTTTGAACTTAGATGCCATGATACAATATATCTATATTTTGTTCGGCACCTCAAGTTGACTAAGATTAAGCAACCATCAAATTGTTTCAGTGTGTACTTAAGTTTCAAGGTTACATACAAGGTATCCCACACCGTTCATGTTATTGCTAACTGAAAGGCCTCTGACAGATTTCATTTTATTTCTTTATGCTGACCTGATAAACTGGATACGATTTTCTTTACGGCGACGGCGTCGACTGTTAATCCACGTCACTCTTTTACAATCCGCTCAAAACTTGTGCACGCCTTGTCATTGAGTGTTATCTTTAACTCGCGCGTGATTTTCATGGGTTCCTACATTTTTTGTTGCATTCGTTAAGAAAAAAAAAGATAAAAAGCCGAACCTATCATTGCAAAAATGCGTAACTTAGCCTTACATTTCCTTGATATCCCTCACGCTACTCATAAAATAAGAATATTCGCTTAAACTTTTTGTTCCTTTTAAGCCCCTTCAGAAAGCCTTTGGAATCATTGTGTCCAGCTTAGAAGGACCGTTATATTACTCCCAGATAGGAGTCTGTCGCTAGCAAAATTTAAGTTAAGGTCACGGGTAGTCACGCTCTGAGAATCTTTAAATGCTTGGCCAAAAGTTGTCATTTCGCGATCTTTCTCAATCTTTTGTCGCCTTTTGGTTTATTTGGTGTATTCCTATCTTATCAAACTGTGATTTCGTGGTTCCCCTTTAAATTGAAGGTGTTTTTCCCGTCAACACGTCGAAAAACGTCGTGACGTTTTTCCTCTAGAGCTCACTGAATACACCCAATGAAAGATCTAAGTATCCCTGGTGAAAGCTTGGATTATCTTCTTTGCAGGTATAGATTTGAACACGCAATCTTACTGGCACTTGCGTTACACACAATTGTGTAATTAAGTATAAGTAAAGTAATTTATCTTTGATCTTCATTCATTCATCCCCGGTGAGATTTTGTATCAGACAGCGTGGGTGTACCTTTGTAAAATGTGCGTGTACTTTGAGAGTTGGCGAGCTCACAACTCTGAAGTGGTTTATATTTTTCTATACACACATATAAACAATGATTCAGCACAGGATATAACTCAAATACTTTGAGTAATAATGACCCACGCCAGGTTGTATAAAGTTCGCTTGTTGTTATGTAATAATTGCCTAGAAAACTCCCAGATTTGTCCCTTATTGACGCGTTTCTTACCATGCGTTTCACACTGCACTAAAATAACGTCCTGTGCAAGAGGCGGTAACAAACAGTTCAATCTTCAACTGAATTCTAGTAGAGATTGAAGTTTCGGCTTTGCAAGTCGTAACTCTTTTCAAATTCATACAATGTACGCAGCATGGGTGACCAGGTTAAATAAAGACGGTATGGTAATTGCATCGTCAGCGGAAATCCCATTCCCAACCGGACGCATCAAAGACGATAAGTAGTTTTGGGTGGCCTGGCTGAAACAACGATTTAGTCCTCGACAATATTTTAAAAAAAAAAGTGACAGTCTACACTTAAATCCAGCTTACCAAGAAGCTTTCCTGTTTTCTTAGCCCGTTAGCTGCTTCTCTTAAAAAAATAAAGCCTGTGCGCACAAAGAAATTCGAATTGGAAGAAAGGAATCACTTCTCAAGCCTTCTGCGCCTCTCATGTAACTGTGCCCGTACGAATTGGTAAATTAAGTGCGTAACCTATGATGTAAGTGTTTTACCAGTGTTGATCAGAGTTGCAAAAGTGCCTGATGAGATAAACATAAACATAACATAAAACCTTTATTTACACACGATAAGATTTAAAGCTCACAAGCTTGTGATTCCTATGCTGATGTTTTTTATCACGGAGACAATAGATGAACAAAGATTTCCTTCAAAGTAGTTGCCACTTGGATAAGCATAGACTTCTATATCTATTAGGACCAACCAGTTGAAGACGTTTCTGGATTAAGAATAGTTATATTCAAGCTGCTAGATCGGCCAAAGTCATTTTCATTCGATGCTTGGATGAGTGTTCAAGCATGGGGCAAGAAGTTAGCAAAAATGTTTCTTTCAAATGGAATTTCTTCCTAACAACTAGGTTAAGTGTTATAAGAAACTCTATGTTAAAGGAGCTATATTGGGACTCATGTCTGGCACCTATCATAGAGAACGGCTTTTTAATAGAAATATGCCTAGACGTAAGCGCTTTAAAGGATGAAAAACAGCAAAGCATAATGGTAATTGAACTCAATGAAGTGCAATTTCGTCTGAAATCATACGAAAGATTTCAAAATCGAACGAGGGTGCAGCGCGAGCTTGATTTGAAATCGCAAGTATAATTTCAGACCAAAATTGCACGACACGACATTTTGACGCAATAACATTTTGGTCGAGGAGAGAAAGGACTTAGAAGATTTAGAAGGCAGCGTGGCCGAGTGGTCAGCGTGTCGGACTCGCAATCCGAGGCTCCCGGGTTCGAGTCCCGCCCTCACCACTACCCGGATTTATTTCACGGTAGCTCCGAGTTCAAATCCTCGGCCATGCTTGTAAATAACCAACTGTAGTTTGTTTTCGGCCAGTTGGGATTTTTAATAATGTTATTTTCAATTTGAATTATTTGTTTCAGTTGTTTGGTGGAAAACCTGTAAACTAGCTTACAGCTAAGTGTTTCTCCACGTTAAATGAAGATTATATTATTATTATCATTATTATTATTATTATTATTATCATTAATTATTATTATTGTTAAGGACAAAAACCTACCGCTTTTTGAAAACTTTTGCCAACATTGCTCGAGATGTTCTAAACGCGAATAAGCACCAAATTCAACTCACAAAGCACTTCATAGCATCTTCTTAATCCCTAGCATCTATTCTATGCCCACTACATGTATATTTCAGGTGAAAGAAAACATGAATGTTTCTTTTATACCCTACAGAATACGCGCCACTGAAAAATGTGGACAGAGCTTATTTGGATTGTGACTGCGCTGGCAGTCCTAGTCCCAGGTAAACCAATATAATGTTTGTGTATCTGATGCTGATGTCATTTTAAGAATTAGATCATCTTTGCCATTATTATGAATGATGGGTTGAACTGATTCCGTATTAATCAGTACTTCTTTCAGTACCACAACTGCACCTTGTAGTACAATAGCCGAAAGCTGGATACATACAAATAAGATTTATAAATTTGGAAAGTGTTTTCTGGTTCGTTTTGCATGATTAGCTATAGAATTTCGCTCTTATGACCATTTTACAAGTAACACCAACTGATGCCCAAGGCGACCGACCACTGGTCTGGAAAAATTTATTATTACCTGAAGTTGTTCCTGTGAGCAATTTTTTCATTAAGTGACCAGTCAAGAGTTTCCTAAAGAGCCTTTCCTTGGCAACATAGATGGTAATCACTTCCCTTTACAACTGCTTGTATGGATGAGTTCTACCGAGGGGCATTTATCAAGGAGCATTTATGAATGAAGCTGCAAAGGGCTTTTTGGAAAACTCAACTCCAGCAGAGTTTTCATGTCTTTTTAACAAGCTTCTTGCTAAAGTAAATAGGCACCAAGTATTCCTGGAAGAGTGTATTTGCAAAGAATGTGCTAGTGTAAATAGGTAGTGTGCCTTTCGTTTTGTTTTAGCTCAAGGCAACCCTCCAGTGATAACAAATTTCCCAGAGAAGGATTTGGTTAATCCAGAGGACGTGAAATTCAGGTCGGATCATGGCTTCACACTTCCTTGCAAGGCTATCGGGTCAAACTTAACGTGGACTTGGGAACACAACGGTACAGCTATAACCGATTTTGGTGGTAGTTCACGCTTTAACCTGGACAAAAATGGTACCTTGACTGGCACTTACCTCCGCGCTACTGACAGTGGTACATACCAGTGTTTTGTCAAAAACGAAGTCACGGGCGCCGTTGCATTTAGCAGGAAGCTTAAAGTCGCTGTCACAGGTACCAATGGGAATCATGATGTAAACTTGTTTAACATTTCACATCACCTGTCCAGGTGATTTCCAACGACGTTAACTCTAACCTAAGCAACCTTGAACTTGTCCTGGCGTAAGGGTTGGCGCTCTCAACTCGGGTTGGCTCAACGCCTTACAATATGACAGTGCAGTGTTATTAGTTAAAGTGCTTTTCCACTCGGGGGTATGACTGAGTTTCAACGAATTTTTTTTTAAGAGAACGTGATGAAATGCCGAGATACTACATGCAACGGTCAGCATACGGGCTAATAATGAGTAGTATGCAGTATATCTAGATATGCTACAAAAACCGGAATTAACTTTGACAGTCCTGGTTGCCTCTCTTGTGCTTGGGGTTTATTTCGCCAATTTTCTCTTCTACTATCTCGTTGCGTTAGAAGGCTAGCGATGCTTCTGTTGCCCAATGGACCGTAATCAGAAGGCCGAGTGTTCGTTCCTGTTGAGGACTCGGTTTTTTTCTTTCGCTCCACGCTTATTTGATGATCCTCTGAAAACTGAATATTTCAATTACGGTACTTTTATCAACGGTCAAGCTGCCACATAATCAACTGAACCTCTGATCAAAAGATTTGCTATTAAAATCATGTCTGAAGAACTCACTTTTGTTGTAGCAAACCATCGTCTTTTTCCTCCTCCATACATCTTTAATTCGTTTTTCTTAATTTTTTTCCTTCTAGTCACTGGAACCTTCACCAATAAAAAAGATGTGGTGGTAAAGGTCAATCTCGGCGACCCTTTCTCCTTCGACTGTCCTCCTCATACACACAGCTATGGAGTGGTTTACAGCTGGGGAAACAGTCATGACAGAGTAGCGTACACATTCGTAAGAAATCAACGTCGGTCCATTTTAAGCAATGGTACTTTGTATATGACTTATTTAACGCAAAAAGACATTGATGATATCGAATCGTACAAGGGCATCAGGTGTACCATCTCTGGAGCGAACGGTTTTCAAAGGTCTGGGACCTTGAGACTGGAGAAGTTTAATGAGAATCAAACAGGTAATGCATCAGTCATTTCTTTTTTCATTGAATAAGGATATAGAAAGAGAGCATAACTCATCTTGGCTGCTGCCTTAAAATTTGTATTTGTATTTGTATTTGTATTTAAAACTGTACAAAAATTTAAGCATGTCATCTAGGGTGTATACCAATATCATCGGTCACTGAAGGCCACAAACTTAGAGAAAAGATTGGTTAGCTACGCGAGTCAGTCCCTCATGAAGACATACCCATGGTTCATGGATTCGTTCGAATTTACCAAGAGTGGGCATGCTTTAGCAAACCTAGTGAGCTCTAGGTTGCCCTACTTTTCATTACTGTAGGAAATAACCTCATCAAGGCTTTTGGTATTTTCCCATTTATCATTCGTGGACGCTTATTTTCAAATTCGTTCCTTCGTTCTAATTTGGATCTAGCGGTTAACTACTTACTTATTAACTTAAGAAGATCTTAGCGCGAGTGCTAAGGTTTTGGCAGTATACATGCATTCACCAACCTCCAACTCAAGTTGGAGTTTGCGCGTGGCGAAATCAAAACTGGAAAATCTAGCCTCGCCATAAGAGAAGATGACAAAAATAAAAAACACAATCAAACAAACAAACAATTTGCCTTATTTTTAAAATATCTTAAAATTTTCACAGATTCTGAGAACTCTACTTCACCCTCGTGGTATCTTACGCCGAACGTGATAGAGACCGCCGTACAAGGAAAGAGCAAGAGTTTGTACTGCTTCGCAAATGGAAGGTTAGTTTCCTTGTAATTTTGCCTTTAGAACAGTAGAGAGTAAGCCCTTCACAAATTGTCCTTACTATTTTGATGTAGAGAAGGCTACGAATAGTGTTCAGTCTTCACAAGTAGGCGCACCGGAACTGCAATAGTTAAAGATTCAGTCTGCCTCCTGTAAATTTCATTTAAAAAAGGCAACAATATAAACCAGACTGTTCTGTTCACCCGTGCGTTTCGAATCGAAGTACCAAAAATTACCAGCTCTGTACGTCACATCCTATCTCGGATCGTTTCTTGTGAATGTGGTGTTTTAGACCAACCCTTTAAAGTGTGACTGCGAATATATGAACGTCACATATATGATTTTAATATATTCATAGTCATTGATTTATCACTTCACGGGTTTAATACGAACTAACAGTTCCAGTTGGTTTGTTAGCTCAGTTGGTAAAGCAGTGCACTGGTATCGCAGAGGTCGTGGGTTCAAATCTCGTACAGGCCTGAATTCTTTTCATTAATGCGAAGATCGCGTTCATACTCGTTTAAAGTGTTGTGTGTTTTTTTAAGACCATCACCCAAAATTACTTGGAAGAAGGACGGACGCCAGATCACAGACGGAGAGAACTCTTTCAGCATCTCTGCCGCATTCTATGGAAGACGGCTTTTCATTGCAAGTGTTGATGAAACCAATCATCAGGGCGTCTACACTTGCGAAGCCGAAAACGCTATGAACATAGGCAACCCAGTCATTTTCAACACTACACTTACAGTAGAAGGTAAGGGTTCAATTATCTTTTCATCCTTATCTATCCATTTATCTGTGTGGTTTTCCGTTTTCTTTTAAATTCTTTAGTACAAGCCAAAAATAATTTTGAGATTCCCTTAAAGTTTAATGTAATTCTGTGCGTAAAACAAACAAACAAACACGTTAACGGACAGAAAAACAAACAAAAAAGCTAACTAACTGCACCAAGACAATAAACAAACAAAACTTCCCGAACAAACACATTATGCCCTAACATTCATGCAATCCTTTCCCATTTACAGCTTCGCCAAAATGGACAGATAATCCTCCACCAAATAGCACCAACATCGTCATTGAAAACAACGGCACATTGGAGTGTAAAGTCACAGCAAACCCTGCTGCAATAGTGACATGGTTTAAAGACGGAGTATCACTTCAATCTGCAGGGTATGTTTAATCAGAAATTTTCCTCTAAAAGAAATAAAAAAAGCGAAATTCAAAACCGCTGCATCCCGTCACACTGACTCAACTTAAAACACAACAGTTTAAAATGAACCCCAAAGAGGATTATTGCATTTGAATATCAACCCTTGCGAAGAAATGAAACGAGTGGCATCACGAATTTAAGAAACGAGCAAAATGGGGAAGAGCTATGTAGCTTGACTAGCGCGACGATTCTCGATACCAGGCCCCACAAAATATTCACATACCCTTGCCTTCTTTAGGGAGGGACATTGAAGATACAAGCGCATTAAAACACTTGTCATTAAAAACAAAATATTTCGTTACAGATTGTTCAATGACGAATGTACAAATAAGTCATGGATGCAATGATAATTAAACCTTTTCAGGATCATTAAAATCAAAATATTATGTATTTTAAAGTTCATCTCTAAATACTTCGAAAAACATTGAGTCCGAGTTTTTTATCGAGCTTAAAGTTCTTGTAATAATTTGAATATATCAACAAAGTTGAAATGGTAAATTGGCCACCGTTACGATTATAAAAGCTGCCGTTTCGAGCGTTAGCCCTTCGTCGGAGCGAATAGGGGAATTGTGGGTTGTGTGCGCTTTTAAACGCAGAAAAAGGAGCTACGTGATTGGTGGGAACATGGCAACGAGAAAAACACGAATAAATTAGTGGAATGAAAAGCGTTCTTTTAAATACGGAAACGTTCCGAACATCAAACGCGCCATCAAACATGAAAAGTCAAAATGCAATCGCGTTCATGCGATCTGCATTTCATCAGTCTGTCGATATTATTGTTTTTCCTTTTTGCAAATCTAGGCATCTTGTGGTGGCTGAAGACAAGTTACACCTGACAAATGTAAATCTTAGCGATACTGGTATCTATCAGTGCGAGGCCGAAAATGCTCATGGAAGTATAATATCGTCAACTTGGGTCCAAGTGACAGGTACATATTCACCAGCACAAACTAAAAGTAACAAGTAAAGGGTCTAGCCGAAGGACTCGAAAGCCTGATAGTTGGCGAGTTGTATCCCAGATTGAGTTGTTCGGGTTCAATCTATACCTGGGATCAATCACCAGTTCAATCTGGACTGGTTATTGGACAGTCCATCCGGTAAAACTGCTGGTAACTTGCCAGCGAAGAACTCTTATCTCATATGCTAGGATAAGCTTACAAACTAAACAGGTGCTTATCTGCAGCACACTTTTTTCAAGGGAGATTTCAATGGAATTTTTGTGTGAGATTTGGGAATAAAAACTAGGGATGATAAACGACGTTTTGAAGAGGATCCTTCAATCGACAAGAGGAACATTGTTTTATCGTTAGTTTTTATTCAGAAATGTCTTTTGAAAAAACTGCTGATAAGAATTATTGTAAGGTATCAAGAAAATCTATATTTTGTGAAAGTTTCCACTATTATACAAAGTACAACCCTTTTTTAATCTTAAAACTATAAAACTACCGACAGGTCAGTACCGTTAATATGCCACCAAGTAATTTTGGCGAAACTCGGCTAAGTCTTTTTCCCGCCAAAATACCTCATACTTGCGTGCGACGCTGTTTCGCTATGGAAAATCGTAGTATACGTAGTGCTTGTCCTAGAATCTAAAAGTTTTTGACGAAAATGACCGGCCACACGGCTCATTAAAATTTTCATCACAAGCTGACAAAAATACTTCATACTGTTCTCGTGACAGCTTGGAAGCCATCTTTCGAAAACGTGCAGTTCGGTCCTTTCCGCCTACTCAATAAGAAAGAGGCCAAGTTACCTTGTAAATCCAGTACAGCTGCTCCGCAACCATCATATCACTGGTTTAAAGATGGCGAGCTTATTACTTACGACGAGAACAGTCGCTACAAGTTGGACATGGACGCAACGCTGCTTATAAAAGAAGTAGATAAGGATCTAGATGGTGTCAACTACACTTGCAAGGCAAAGAACCTTATGGGCGAAGACTCTATAACCACAGTGCCAATCATTCTTGGTAAGCCAGTCCGTAATATCTAATAATGTTACTCACTTCAAGCCAGTAACTTATTTCCACACCCAGATTAATTATTATGTTATTACAAAAGGAAATAATAACTTTTACGAAAGTATGTACGTATCTTAAAGATACTTCTACGTTTGAACGTGTCGTCAGATCATCTTGGTGAGCGTAGTCCTTAGGACTTTTATCGATAGTGGTGACTGTGGTTATTCAGCACACAGTGCATATCTGCAAGAACGGATTTAAGACCTTTTTCCTTTTACTTTGATAATTCTAGTTCCCCCGATGTTAACAACAGAGCCCATGGACCGGACAATCCTTGAGGGTACCAATGTAACTTTCCAATGCAGTGCCACAGGAAACCCAACTCCAAAGATAACATGGACAAAAGATGGCAAGGAATTGGGCTCTGGGAAGATTCTAAGCTTTGAGACTAACAGAAATCAATCTGGAAAATATTGGTGTTCGGCAGAAAATGGATTAAATGTTACTATCAATGCAAGCGCTGTTCTGAATGTCCTATGTGAGTATGAATTGTGCAGTAAAACAAGATAATATCATACCAATTATTTTAATTTGAGTTACGTGCGCATTAGTTCAACGGCTTCATTCAAGGCATTTGAAATAAATGTTTCCCTTGAACTGCTAATATTGAATATCCCTCTTTCATTCCTTCTCGGAAAAACGCGGTGGGCTCTGGAATGAGAAGTCCAGGGTCGAACCCTGGCCGGGACAGCGTGTTCTTAGTCGATCTCGTTCGGACGGTCGACCGGGTTTCTGGTAGCTTCTAGTTCTCGGTTCCGCATAGTGTCTTTCTCCATGCCTCTCTCCACTCGAAGTACTAAAATAACTAACTGTAAGAAAGTATCAAGGAAACATGACAAATGATTGGCGTGGGAATCTCTGGAGAATTAGCATCAAAACTATCCCACATAATAACTGGGATTCAACTTTAGCAGATTTAGTTTACGAGTCAGTATTTTAAGTAGACCTTTTACTAAAACAGCTAATGAATATATTCTCCATTTTATAGACATTTGACGTTGTAATCGAACTCATTTCTTTATTATTTCAGACACACCAAGCTTGATCACTCTTCCTTCTGATCAAACTGTTCTCGAGGGTTCTACCGCAACATTGCCCTGTGCGGCCACTGGAAATCCAACGCCAAAGATATCATGGATGAAAGATGGGAAAACTGTGTCTCAAGAGCAAACATTGAAAATTGAAACCAACAGAAATAATTCTGGAAAGTACTGGTGTATCGCAGAGAATGGATTGAATTCAACTGTTAAAGCCAGTGCTATGCTTCACGTTCAGTGTAAGATATGACTTTGTTCTTGTTCATAGTGTTTTTATAAGCATAAGTGTTAAAATAGGATGTTGAAGTAGAATACGTATTATGAGTAAATGATGGTTAAAGCCCCTACTACCAATGATTGTGAATTTATTCCAAAATGGAAGATTGCAATCTCTATACTACTGCCCTTTTCGAGTTCGTGGGTTGTTCGAGTTGTGAAAGATTTAGACCTACACACAAACCGACAGGTTTTCAAAGGTACCCTCTACAAACCTACAAATCAGTAAACGTCCGCTTCTTTTGCAGTTTCACCAGCTTTAACAACTTTTCCAGTAGACCAGACCATTATGGAGGGCGCCAAAGTAACATTTCATTGCAGTGCCACTGGAAACCCAGCTCCAACGATAACATGGACAAAAGACGGCAAGAATGTGGAATCAGGAGAGGTGTTGAGCTTTGAAACGAACAGGAATCAGTCTGGAGAATACGTATGCTCAGCAGGGAATGGGTTGAATGTAAACGCCAATGCTAGTGCTTTCCTAGATGTTCTTTGTGAGTATCATGTGGGTATTGAAAGACTAGACTGTTATGAACGTCGTATTTCAGTTTGAGACACGTGCGCGTTGAACGCAAAAGGTAACTTAGCGAATTCTGTTTGTGAAGTATATTCCAAAAGTGGCTGAGGTTAATTGCCTCTTACCGCCCACAAGCACAAAACGCCTTGAAGTAGCACTCGGCGTGGTAAAAATCAGATTTAACGGTCTAGGTTCGAGCTGACGACAAACCGCCTAGGGAATTTGAGGCGTGGGAGGAGGGGGGTGGAACTAGCATTTTACATATGAACGGGGATTTGCTGCAGCTGCCATGCAAGTCGGTCTCGTACGCTTAATCATCACTTTCGTATACTAAACCTATTATCCTAGAAAACTGTTGACTGCTCTTCTTCAAACTTAACTGAATGTGAAGGAATAAACATATCATTTCAGACAAACCCAGTTTAGCCACCCTTCCCTCGGATCAAACCGTTCTGGAGGGTTCCACAGCAACATTCCACTGTGCGGCCACTGGAAATCCAACACCAAAGATATCATGGATGAAAGATGGGAAAACTGTGTCTCAAGAGCAAACATTGAAAATTGAAACCAACCGAAATGATTCTGGAAAGTACTGGTGTGTCGCAGAGAATGGATTGAATTCAACTGTTAATGATAGTGCCATGCTTGACGTTCAGTGTAAGATATGACTTTCTGTTGTTAATTTTTTTAAGCACGGGAGTTAGAATAGGACGTTGAAGTGGAATACGTTTTATGATGAAAGGATGGTTAAAGCCACTGCTAACACTGATTGTGAATTTTTGCGAAAACTTATGACTTAAAGTCAGCTATCTGTGTTCTATTGTGCTTTTCGAGTTCGAGGGTTGTTTGAGGTGTGAAAGATTTAGATGTACACACAAACCGGCGAGTTGCCAAAAGCACCCTCTACAGACCTACAATTCAATTACCGTCCGCTTCCTTTGCAGTTCCACCAGATTTAACAACTGTTCCACAAGACCAGACCATTATGGAGGGCACCAAAGTAACGTTTCATTGCACTACCACTGGGAATCCAGCTCCCACGATAACATGGACAAAAGACGGCAAGGCTGTGGAGTCAGGAGAGGTGTTGAGCTTTGAAACCAACAGGAATCAGTCTGGCGAATACGTGTGCTCAGCAGGGAATGGGTTGCATGTAAAAGCCAATGCCAGTGCTGTCCTGGATGTTCTTTGTGAGTATCATCCGTGCAGTGAAAGACTAGACTGTTATAAACGTCTCATACCTCAGTTCGATATACGTGCGCGTTCACCGCTGTAGCTACTATTAGAGCATTCCATTTGCGGGGTATAACTCTACCGGGGTTGAGGTTAATTGCCGGCTCTCTACAGGCCCGCCCAAAAGGAGTAACATTACCCCAGATCGCTTCATTATACAGAAACCGGAACGTTTAGCAACGGAAATTTGCTTATAAATTATTTCAAAATTTTAGCGAACTTAGACGCAATTTAATCTATCATTTCAGACAAACCCAGTTTAACCATCCTTCCTTCGGATCAAACTGTTCTCGAGGGTTCTACGGCAACATTCTCTTGTGCGGCCACAGGAAATCCAACACCAAAGATATCATGGATGAAAGATGGGAAAACTGTGTCTCAAGAGCAAACATTGAAAATTGAAACCAACCGAAATGATTCTGGAAAGTACTGGTGTGTCGCAGAGAATGGATTGAATTCAACTGTCAATGCTAGTGCTATGCTTGACGTTCAGTGTAAGAAGTTACTACTTATACTTTATATGAGTCAGCAGAAGAGAGAGCTTATTTATGGGTCTTAGAGTCTCTACACACAACATTTAGTCCCGAAGTCTTGTAAACACAGTCTTCGTCCACTATTTGAGCGACTCTCAAAAACCAAACCCAAAGTGAATACAACGAACAAACGGCTTATGAAAACTGACAACTTACTTCTCTTATAGTTTCCCCAAGTTTAAAAACCACTCCAATAGACCAGACTATAATAGAGGGTGCTACAGCAACATTTTACTGCACCGCCACTGGGAACCCAGCGCCAAAAATAACATGGACAATGAATCGTGAGACGGTAGGATCCGGAGACACACTGAGCTTTGAAACAAACAGGAATCAATCTGGGAAATACTGGTGCTCAGCAGAAAATGGACTAAACGTTATCAACGCCAGTGCAGATCTTGATGTCTTGTGTAAGTGAACTGTTACACTAAGGAGAAATATTGCGAAAAAGTCTGCGCTGATGAAAGATTAGCACCTGCGCAACTCTTAACCGCAGCGGGATGTGGTAAATAAAAGCTGTACAGTTACGTCCAAAATCTAATTTACTGTGACAATACCAAAGCTAGCTTTGCATACCGTGAAATAGAAGGAAAAGTAACAGCCAATCAAACGTCTGTAAAAAATAAATAATTGCCTAAGGCGCGAGAAAGAGACGCTAGTACATTTTAGTTTTGCAATGCATTGGTTCAGAAGATGGTCTGTGTTTCCTGGTTTGATAGCAAAGAAAAGTATAAAAAACACAATGCAATACAAGATAACGTTCGAGTTGTAATGAATAAAAAATTCTTTAAGGCAGAGGATAAAGAAGGCCCATCTATACATTGACTACATAGTGCCAACCTTTAATAATGCGTTTCACGTTTAGATAAACCAAGTTTGACCAACAATCCGACTAACCAGACCGTCGTTGAGGGTGCCATTGCGACGTTTCGCTGTAGGGCTGATGGAAATCCAACCCCAAAGATAACATGGAGGAAAGATGGGAAGACTGTGACTGAAGAAGACACACTGAGCTTCGAAGCAAACAGAACTCAATCTGGCGAATATTTGTGTTCGGCAGAGAATGGTCTCAATTCTACTGTGAGCGCAAGCGCACATCTTAATGTTCAATGTGAGAAACTGGTTTGATTTCAAAGCTTTTCCTCATAGCTAACTGGGTTATTTTTATATGTCATGTTTATCTTTCAACACTTTTCGATTAAAAGTCGTAACATTATAAATTCCGACTATTCGCTTTTTTTATAGTTCAACCAAGTTTAGTAACTACTCCAGTAGACCAGACCACCGTGGAGGGCGCCACAGCATCGTTCCAATGTACAGCTACTGGTAACCCAGTTCCAAAGATTACATGGAGTATGAATGGAAAAACAGTAGGATCGGGTGAAACACTGAGCTTTGAAACAAACAGAAATCAATCAGGAAAATATTGGTGCTCAGCAGAAAATGGATTAGATGTTATCGTCAACGCCAGTGCTAGTCTGGATGTCCTGTGTAAGTGAGCTGTTTAATAACGGAGGCATTATTATGCAAATTCTTTGCTGGCAAAAACTCAATATCTGGGCATACTCCTAACTGCTTTAGCTTGTCTTCAATAACATCTGTGCAGCCCTGAGAAGGGTTTACCTTACAGATTTACGTCTGCCCGGTTTAGACGGGGGTACGACCAATCACTGAGTCAATTCGCAAAGATCACGACAACGCCACCTCCATTTGCCCTCACTGCCCTCTTAAAGTAATATAAAGAAAGCTTTCTCTATATTTCCTGCATAGAGCTAATCTTTTATTTTTACTTCGTCTGTTCCAGATGAACCAAGTTTGACGACTATTCCGTCTAACCAGACCATAATTGAGGGTACCTTAGCGACATTCCTCTGTAGGGCTGATGGAAATCCAACCCCAGAGATAACATGGAGGAAAGATGGAAAGACTGTGGCTCAAGAAGACAAACTGAGCTTCGAAGCAAACAGAACTCAATCTGGCGAATATTTGTGTTCGGCAGAGAATGGTCTCAATTCTACTGTGAGCGCAAGCGCACATCTTAATGTTCAGTGTAAGTCACTGGTTTGATTTAAAAGCTTTTACTCACTGCTAGCTGGCCTTTCTTTACATTTCATGTTAACCTTGCGATATAAAAGAACCGACAATCCGCTCTATTGCAGTTTCATCTAGTTTAGTAACTACACCAGTAGACCAGACCATCATGGAGGGCGCCACAGCATCATTCCACTGCACAGCCACTGGTAACCCAATTCCAAAGATAACATGGAGTGTGAATGGAAAGACAGTTGGATCGGGTGAAACACTGAGCTTTAAAACAAAGAGGAATCAATCAGGGAAATATTGGTGTTCGGCAGATAATGGATTAGATGCTATCGTCAATGCCAGCGCTAATCTTGATGTATTATGTAAGTGAAATGATGAATAACGGAAGCACGAACGTGAAAATTCTGTGCTTGCAGAAACTCCGCATTTAGACTTACTCCTTCCTGCTTCAACTTGTCTTAAATAAAATCTGTACAGCACTGAGCATGGTTTATCTAACTGTGCTGACACTTGAGCGCGCACTAAGTTTGCATGTTGTGACAAACAAGCACAGGTAACGGTCAAAGTAAAAAAGAAAGCCAATCAAAATCAGTAGACAATATAAAGAATAGCCTGAAATGCCGGTGAAGCGATGTTCATTGGTAACAAAGAATAGCTTGGTTTTGGGTTTCATCTGGCCGGTTCAGAGAGTGGTGCGAGTTTTTTAGATCAATCATTGTCTTAATTTTCACAAATCGAGTCAAATGCCAATACTGTTCACTCTCGCCGTCTCTCTGAAATTTGATGATGAAGGCCACCAATATATTTCCTGCACAGTGTTGACCCTTTCATTTATGCTTCTTCCGGTCCAGATAAAACAAGTTTGACTACCGTTCCGACTAACCAGACTACCATAGAGGGTGCCATTGTGACATTTCGCTGTATGGCTGATGGAAATCCAACTCCAACGATAACATGGAAGAAAGATGGGATAAATGTCGCTCAAGGGGACACACTGAGATTCGAAACAAACAGAACTCAATCTGGCGAATATTTTTGTTCTGCAGAGAATGGTGTGAATTCTACTGTGAGTGCGAGCGCACATCTTAATGTTCAATGTAAGTAGCTGATTCAATTCCACAGCTATTCCTAAAGGTATTTGGCCAACAGTAAATATATGAAATTATATATTTGAACCGCGGATTGATTAATGAAGATGAGAGTGATCATCGCACTTATGAACTTATGAACACTACCAAAGAAAAAATCCTCAGCAACTTGAGCGGAAGTCATCATCAGAGTCAGTGATGACTTCCGGTCAGGTTGCCAAAACGTTAGTCGCTACATCCGACAACAGTCTTTCTCAGGAGTACTATCATCCGGACGATCAGACTCCACTATCACATGTTACCCCCAGGTTCACACCATTTGCTGTAAAGTTAGACTATTTCGAGAGTTGAAACTGTGCCCCTTGCGATACCGGTGTAGTGATCTACCAACTGAACTAACTAGCCAACTGGGAGCTGGTTATTTTGTTGGTTCGCAATAAACCCGTGAGTGATGAATAAACGATTGTGAATAAATGAAGATAATATATTTGAACTGACCTTCGATTTTCATACATTTGTTTTCCGAATTAGCAATTGGCCATCTTCTGTATTAGTTCCAAAAAGTTTTACATCAAAATAACGCCAGGAGAAAAAGCGATTTTGTGAAAACGAGTCTATTTAAATAACTTGTATTACTTTTGCAAAGTGCCTTGCCAATTGAAGAAATACTTCTTGTCGATAAATTACTCAGTAATTCACGAGGCCGTGATATCTTTACTTCTTTGTCAGACACACCTAGTTTAATCACCAAACCATCGGACACAGTAATCATGGAAAACCAAGAAGTAACTCTCCAATGTAGTGCCACTGGAAACCCAATTCCAAAAATAACGTGGATCAAAGACGGAGAAGAAGTAGATACAGGAGATAAACTATGTTTCAAGGCCCTTAGGAATCATAGTGGGAGGTACTGGTGTTTAGCACAAAATGGCTTAGAGGGCAGTGTGAATGCCAGCGCTTACCTGGATGTGAAGTGTGAGTATGGCAACAACGAAACCACGGGCTCAGAATCTTTAAAATTCAGCTTGCATTTTTAAAGTTCGTTATTTGCAAAGGGGTTTCAATAACGTTTCCGTAAGCTTCTGCCGATAGTGCAGCGGTAAGAGATCGCCAGGAGTTCGCATGTTTTGGTAACAGTACACTTCATGCAATTGCCGAACTAAATAATGGCTCTCCGTAAAAATAGTGTATTAAAATTTAAACAATAATAACGGATTATTATAATTCAGTTCCACCAAGTCTAATCACGAGGCCAGTTAACCACACAGTTATTGAGGGAGCCCAAGCAACATTCCACTGCAATGCCACAGGAAACCCAACTCCACAAATAACTTGGAAAAAAGATGGGAAGATCGTAGTTGAGGGAGAAACTCTGAGCTTGGAAACCAACAAGGATCACTCTGGAAAATACTTGTGTATTGCAGAAAATGGGTTGAATTCCACTGCGAGTGCTAGTGCGAATCTTGATGTTCAATGTAAGTACAATAGACTTGCATGGGCATTTATTCGTTTCGGAGCCAATAGCTGCGAGGCCTTAAAAGGGAGGGCCTATGATTAGCGATGAGTTCTCTCCATTCCGTTCTCACCTGTCATACGAAATGAGTACGAGGCTTGTATAGCCAAATCGAAGGTGTTAGGTGCTTGGTTAAACAGTTCCATCCCATTCTTTCCAAACAAGAGATGAGTAAGGAGGCCTACAACTTGTAAAAGCATTTACAGTCAGTCCACCCCACCCCCTCCATTTCAAGTGTTCATGAAATATGAGGTTTGCATCTCCAGATCGGAAAGTCTTACGTTTTAAATTTTTATTACAGTTCCACCTGGAATAGTCTCCAAACCATCAGACCAGATTATCATCGAGAACAATGAGGTTACTTTCCAATGTAGTGCCACTGGAAATCCAACTCCAAAGATAACTTGGGTCAAAGATGGTAAAGAGGTGGAGACCGGGGAGAAATTGACTTTCAAGGCCTTGAGAAGTCAAGCTGGAAAATACTGGTGTTTGGCAGATAATGGCTTAGAAGACAGTGTTAATACAAGTGCTTATCTTGATGTCCTGTGTGAGTATCGCTTATCGTGCGATTATTCAACCTCATTTTTCACTTAGAATCAGGTTGCTATTTGTCTTTGGATTCCTAATTCGAGTCGCGCCAAAACACGAGCAAGGGCAGAAAACTCTATCAGTTATCGTGGTCTAAAAGTAGATTTCCCAGGAGCATGTTCTTGGAACTTCAGTCATTGTTCCTCAAGGCTTTTCTCAAAGTAGCAGAATTAAGAAAATTGGCGATTGAAATCGGAATGGTATTCAGATTATGAAATATAATCATTTATCAAATTCATCACTAACTTTCATTTAATAAGGAAACTAAATTTACATAAGAACATCACTTTAATCCAGTTGTACCAGGTTTGATCACAAAACCAGCTGACCAGATAGTTGTCGAGGGAAGAATAGCAACATTCTACTGCAACGCCACTGGGAACCCACAACCAACGATAAAATGGATAAAGGATGGGAAGACTGTGACCGAAGGAGAAACATTAAGCTTTGAAACTAACAGGAATCACACGGGAAAATACTGGTGTTCAGCAGAGAATGGATTGAATTCTACTGTGAATGCTAGCGCCATACTCGATGTTCAGTGTAAGTGACTTATACATGCAGGCATTTCTTTATATGTTGTTTGTAAAAGCTGGGTGGACTTGCACATGTGTTTTAATCTTATCTGATGTATTTATTACAGTTCCGCCGAGTATAATTACCAAACCATCTGACAAACAAGTCATGGAGAAAAACGAAGTTACTTTCCACTGCACTGCCAGTGGAAACCCAACGCCAAACATAACGTGGATCAAAGATGGCCAAGCCGTGGATAAGGGAGAAAACCTCAATTTTAAAGCTATGAAGGCTAATTCTGGAACATATTGGTGTCTGGCAGAAAATGGTTTACAAGTCACTGTTAACACCAGTGCCGATCTAGATGTGCAATGTGAGTATGTTACACAGTTTTCAAAAGGCCGCTCGTTTTAATACTGGACATACCTTGTATGATCAATTGAAAGAGAACACCGCTTTACAAAACCCTGTCATGTGACCTTGTCAATCATAACAAATCGTAACGGTTGCAGCAAAGGACCAATAATTTGAACTGGGGAAACTGACCACAAAAATAGGGAACATCGATCAAGTATACCCATATTTCGTAGTGATAACAGTTCATTCCCATGACTATAAGCTCGACTTTCTTCGCCGCCAACTGGCGACCTTAAATTATAAAATAGCCGTCAAAAATTCGCCAGAAAAAAAAAAAAAAACAGAAAGAAAGAGCTACGGAAAAAAAAAGGGAAAATATCGAAGAGAAAATTTCATACATAACTTTTCACTTTAAACTCTGGGTAATAAACAGTTGCAACTTGCTACAGTACTGCTCAAATGTAAGTTACCATCCTCGTCTCGTTTCTCTCGAGAATCACTGAATCGTTTAGCATGAAGCCGGTCTGCAGATCAAAGTCAACAGCTATTATGCTACATGTTGGTATAAACAAAAAGTTCGATCAAATGTGAGATACAGCATGTATCGATCGCTCACTCTATTCATGTCGAACATTCATGTCCAAAAAACATGTTGATCTTTCGTACGGATGTGTTTGCCGCAAGTAGTTTTTAGACGCTTCTCAAAAGAAAAGAGACGCGTCTCTCGAGATGGTGGTACCTTACATCTGAGCGGTACTGTATCTGACAGCGAAACACTTTTGCTACAAATTCAGCTACATTAAACTTCATGTTTTTATTTTCCAGTTGCACCAAGTTTAATCACATCCCCAGAGGACCACACAATCATTGAATCTGATACTGTAACATTCTATTGCAATGCCACTGGCAACCCAACTCCAAAGATAACATGGATTAGGGATGGGAAGACTGTGGCTGAAGGAAAAATTTTGAGTTTTGAAACCAAAAGGAATCAATCTGGAGGATACTGGTGTTCAGCAGAGAATGGACTGAACTCCACTGTAAATGCTAGTGCTAATCTTGATGTTCAATGTAAGTTTTGATCAAAACGTTTATTACTTTCTATCTACTTAATTTTCAACATGCAAAAACCAATGTCATCCAAAGTTCAGCCAATTTCATTATCTATCGTGGATAAAATTTAAAAACCAGGCAGAGGTTAAGTTGACACCATACTACACTACAGTTCTGAAATTCAATGTTTATATGCAGATTTATATGTATGTGAATGTTTATCTTGTACGTCGGTTAATAAGAGACAACTTCTCCATTGTAGTTTGTATCATTATGATCTACAGTTCCCCCTAGTCTAAAAATCAAACCACTGAATCAGACAATTGAGGAAAATCAGGAAGTGACTTTCCACTGCACTGCCACTGGCAACCCACCTCCAACTATAACATGGATTAAAGATGGGAAGAATCTAGGTCAGGGTGATTCTTGGAGCTTTATAGCTAAAAGGAATCATTCTGGAAAATACCACTGTTCTGCCGCAAATGGATTGGATAAAACAACCAATAGCAGTGCCTATCTCAATGTTCAGTGTAAGTATGATAGCAATTATTTTAAGGTAATCATAACTTAATGGTAAGAAATACTAGTAAATAATAGCCTCAAACTTCCAGATATCCTAGTAATGGCAGCAACTACATCCTAATGTGTTTTTGCAGGGACATGGAGGAAGGATTCTGGTTTAGGCAGTAGGATATGTAAATTCTAATAAAGTTGTATGTGGATAGCCTTCTGAAAGGAAGTCTGCTTTTGGGGATGTCCACAAAAAGGTTAAACTTAAGTTGATTTTCCAATTGAGAGCAATACCATCGTCATCACCATGTATTCAAAATGTGTACATCGTTATGTCCCTGTAATCATACAGTTCAGTATACATTGTTGTATGCTCTTCTTCAGTTGCACCAAGTTTAATTACTACACCAGCTGACCAGACATTAGTTGAAAGTGGTACAGCAATCTTTTACTGCAATGCCACTGGAAACCCAGCCCCAAAGATAACTTGGATAAAAGATGGAAAGACTGTGGCTCATGGAGAAACACTGACCTTTAAAACAAACAGAACTCAATCTGGACAATATTGGTGTTCAGCAGAAAATGGGGTGAAATCTACTGTTAATGCAACTGCTAGTCTTGATGTTCTGTGTAAGTGCTTTGAAAGAATTGTAACCTTTAAAATTGTTTTCTCAGAGTTTCCATGCCAAATTAATGGCTAATTTATAGTTTTCTTTAGAAGAAAATGAGCGCACATTGATGTCCATGTGATTTAATTTAGTGGGCTATACAGTGAAATTTGGCCTGCAAAATTGACCAATCACAGTGCATGAATATGATAGATATAATACATTGGTTGAATGGTAAATATATAAATTTATGTATTCGACTAACAGTTTTCCAACAGTTGCTTTATGGTCAACTGACAGTCAAGGACCAACAGGCAGCCTCTTTCCTAAATGAAAAGTCAGCCGACTGTTGAGAAATTGAGATTTGGGCTAACTCTTACTGTAGTTGTGCATCAGTCAACCATCAATGATCTTTAGAATGAGTATTACCAAGTCCACATACACTAATTGTGATCCAGTTTCATATCAAATGACAGAGCTGTTTTGCACTATATCCAAATTGTTTCAGATGCTAAAATATTTACCCTTATTTTTTATAACAGTTCAACCAAGTTTAACCACTAAACCATCTAATCAAACAATAATCGAACATGAAGAAGTGACTCTACATTGTACGGCCACTGGAAACCCTACCCCTGAGATAACATGGATTAAAGATGGGAAGGCTGTAGCTCAGGGAGACAAGCTGAGTTTCAAAGCTAACAGAAGCCATTCTGGAGAATACTGGTGTAAAGCTGGAAATGGTCTAAATGTATCTGTTAAAGCTAGTGCTTACCTGGATGTCCAATGTAAGTTAATGACTGTTTTGAATTATATTTAGAGCTGTACATTGAGGTTATCCAGCCTTTTCCTATACAAATACACCAAAAAGAATACAGAGGGAATGTAAATGTCTAGAAATTATCTGATACTTATTGACTAAGTTTATTTTCCACTCTAATAGACACAAACAATTGTATACATGATAAACCTGAGTTATATATTGGTGTTTTTTATCCAACTACACTAAGCAGTAAAAGTAACATGTGGATCGAGTGAAAATATCCCGCAATTTTGCACGATTATTTAGACAGTTGGTTGTTTTGTAATTAATAATATACATGACCAAATTTCTCAGTTCTGATTGGTTAAGATGAATGCAGTTTTCAGTTAATTCAGTGCAGAAGAGAGTTAATTCAGTGCAGTCGAGGGTTAATTCAATGCAAAGAAGGAAACAAATCAGACATTATGGTTGGTTAGAATGATTGGTCAAGGTCAATGACAAGGTCAATGTCATTTGCAGGGTTTGAATAAATTATTTTTGCACGTGATGCGTAGTTATGAGAAGCTACCTCGTATTGTTTCATGTATATTATTAATACATAATCACATCTTTTTCTCGTGCAATTTGGAATAAATAAGCACTTGTAAATTTTTTCAACGACCACAAATTGTACCCGCCCTACGGGCTCATGCAATTTTGTTAGTCTTTGAAAAAGTTAACCCGTGCTTATTTATTCCAAATTGCACTCGAAATCATGTGATTACCAAAACGAAACTCGTTATAACTCGTAAAAATACTCAGCGATACTACACAACAAAGCGTCCAATACGATGTAATCACTTGGTATCTTTCAAAAAAAGAGAGTGAAAACAAGATATTTATCCAGCAAACTTGAAGATAAACAAAATTGAATTTAAAGGTCAAATATGCGCACTTTCAAAGCTTCAAAGGACAAGAATCAAATGAACTGGAGTTTTAATCATTAGGAGATTTTTCGTTCTGCGCGTTCCGCAGCGATTCATTGTCAGGGCTGAAAATCTAACCACAAATAACGTTTCTACTCTGAGCTAACACTATACGTACCAAGGGAAGCTATCCAAAGCAACTTCTTGTCCGTAGTGGTGTTTGACCGTACTTTCGTCGCAATTTTTGAGGCCTTTCACTTGTTTCAAACCCGCGAACTGTTGCAAAGTGCGCGATGTTGCCCTTTTTTGTGGTTACGTTGTGTAAAGAATATGAAGGTGTAGCTGCTAAGCTCAAGTTAGGAAAAAGATGGCGGAACTGTAGAGTGTTACTGACAGTACTTGCGCACGTAAACGGTGTGTGTAAGGGATCTGTATTTGATGCTCGGTGTTTCTCAAATGAGAAAGTAACAGCGAAATGTTTCCAAATCTTTCCGCGGAAAAGATGGGGATCAGTTCAGGGAAATGGGTCGTTTCGCTTTTCAAACCCGAGGTTTGGCCGAGACCACGTACTAAATTAAACTCAAGTTGATGGTCGAGGGAATGTGAGTGCAATCCACGGCTATCGGACTTCGGTACTAGATGACTTGATTGCATGTTCAATTGGTGTATTTATATGTAATTTTGACTTGATCGTGCTGCTTAATGCTTGACGTTTACTCTGGAAATTGATAATTAGATTAGAATCATTGGCCGAAATGTTCTGCTGCTTGGTGAGGTGACGAAGGTGGAGTCTTCGCCTCACAATCCTGGTTTTAGTTTTACGTCAGATTGCTATACAGGTTGGTCCATCACAAAGTCTTGGGCGGCAAAACCATAACAATTAGGATTAAAACACTCAGTCTAAAAACAACAATAGAAAAAGCGAAAAACAAAACAAAAAACAAAACAAAACAAAAGAAACAAAACAAAACAAAACAAAAACCAAAAAGTTAGGAGCAACCCAACAGATTGCAAGCTAAACTGCCTCCAATACTGCATGCTTATACGCTGAGTTGAGAATTTATATAATTTGAAGAAACTGGTATATTATGAAAATGTAAACCAGTTACTGTTTGAAACAAACTCTAGCTTATTGAACTTGATTATGTCATCAATTTTAAGCTCACTTCTTGTTTACTTTTCTCTGTTGTTAGTTGCACCACGTTTAATAGCAGAACCAGTTAACCAGACAGTAACTGAGTCTGAAAATGTAACATTCTTCTGCAATGCCACTGGGAACCCAGCTCCAAAGATAAAATGGATGAAAGATGGGAAGACTGTGGCTGAAGGAGAAATGCTGAACTTTGAAACGAACAGAAATCAGTCTGGAAAGTATTGGTGTTTTGCAGACAATGGGCTGAATTCCACTGTTGATACAAGTGCCACTCTAAATGTCCAATGTATGTTGGTTGAACTTGATTTGTGAAAATCTTATTTGATTTATGTATAAATTTTTGTGATGGAAAAGTTTACCTTTTTTTTAATTTCTTGATGATGGAGAAAGACCTAAACACCAAATGGTGGTTAGCATTATAATTATACTATTTTGGATGCATTAGAAACTCATCTGACCCTACCAAGGGTCTCAATAAAGTCACTACTGGTGGTCTACTGTTACCCAAACGACCCTTACTGTTGTTTGTTCAGCCCGCGAGTACGTCCTTGTGCATGAGTTACACAGCCTATTACACAGCCGCCTATTACACCTTCGAAAGCCACTGTAGAAAAAGTTGTTAACCCTTTCACTTCTAAGATCTCACTAGTAATTCTCCTTGCTGTCTGCCACACTATTATGATGTTAGTTTGGAGAATTTTGAATGGAATCGACTTACAATCCCCTTGTTGATATTTTCCTCTATTCTCATCACTTGATATTGTATCGATATTGTAAGGAGGAATTCTGTCTTGGTCACTCATTGGAGTTAAAGGGTTGAAATCCTTGCTTAGTTATTTGTGATGGATTGGTTTAAATGCTTCTGTTTGACTTCATATTAGTTCCACCAAGTTTTATCACCAAGCCTTCTAACCAGACCACTGTTGAAAATGAGGTGGTGGCATTTTACTGTGCTGCCACGGGTAACCCTGTTCCAAAAATTACATGGATGAAAGATGGAGAGGTAGTGTCTAAAGAAGAGAGTCTCTCCTTTGGAGCCATCAGAAGTAAGACTGGAAAGTATTGGTGTTCAGTGAGCAATGGTGTGGGTGCTGCAGTCAATGCCAGTGCACATCTTGATGTGCAATGTGAGTATGAAAATTTCATGATTGATAGAAATGTTTACCATTAACACCCTAACATCAGAATCCACATTTTACCTACTCCTCTCTAGACATAACAGGGCTTGACACTATCTGTTGAACTTACTAGCCAAGTGGCTAGTGACAACTTGGATGTCATGACAATTTCAGTTTGTTTATTAGCCAAACTGGTTAGTGGAAATTGAAAACCCCTAGCCAAAACTGAATTTCTACTAGTCTGTGGCTAGTTGGCTACCGTTAGTGTCGAGCCCTGCATAGACCACTTTGATTCATAAATGGCTGCTG